ACGCCACTGGGGATGTGGGTCTGCCACTTCAGACAGGGAATCCTCAATTAATCTGTGTAAGGGATCCTAGCTGAAACCAGGGTCATGCTAAATCTCCCCAGTTGGTCTCCGTGCACAGGCCCATATGCCAACGCCTCCTCCTTCCAGACAGGTAGCGACCCTGTCGCCCAGGCAGGTAGAGACCCCTCTGCCTGTCCTGACAGGAGGTGACTCCTCTGCCTGTCCTCTTTCTCCCAGTCAGATATTGACTTTTCTGCCTGTCCTGCTTCCAACTACTGCCTTTACAAAGGCACTTGAAGGCCTCAGGACTAGCTCGTTGCCCACATCAGCACATGCAGGAGTACATCACAGATGTCGAGAAAGGAGATTGTGGGAATATCCAACAGTCATACGAGACAATGCCTGATTCTCACAGCCATCGCTAGTGATGACTGTGGGCATTGACAAAACGTGATGGCCAAAGCTCTACCTTTTGTCAAGTTTTGAAAATTAAAGGAGCACTATAGGGTCAGGAACTCAAACATGTATTCCTGACCCTATTGGGTTAAAACCACCATCTAGCACCCCCTGGTCCCCTTGTGCCTCTAAAAATAAAGTAAATTCTTACTTGAATTCAAGACTGCAGCTGCATAGTTTGTCCCTGTTTCCTTTAGACCTGCCCACAATGCCTGCTGACATCATCAGAAGTGGTAGCCTGAGCCAATCACAATGCTTCCCCATAGGATTGGCTGAGGCTTACAAGTAGGCAGATCAGGGGCAGAGCCAGCACAATTCAAACACAGCCCTGGCCAATCAGCATCTCCTCATAGAGATGTATTGAATCAATGAATCTCTATGAGGAAAGTTCAGTGTCTGCATGCAGAGGGAGGAGATACTGTATGTTTGGATGCATTTTAGGCAGCCATGACCCAGGAAGGATCTCTATCAGCCACCTGAGGAGTGGCCAGTGAAGTAATCACTAGGCTGTAATGTAAACAGTGCATTTTCTCTGAAAAGACAGTGTTTACAGTAAAAAGCCTGAATTTTACTCACCAGAACAAATTGAATAAGCTGTAGTTGTTCTGGTGAATATAGTGTCCCTTTAACTCAAAAGGAGCACATAGAAATATCCTATCCAGAGAAATAAAACAATACAAACACAATGTAAATCACTTACACCAAAAAGGTGATATATAAATCAATAAATATTGCATTATTGTTTCATTAACAGATTGTTCCAGATGTCACAAATGTACCATGTAAAATATAAAGAGGAAGAAAGTATATAGTGTAGTTATTGATTACAACAGAATGACAGGGAAGATAAAACACATACCCACACTTGAAGAGCAAAGTGTACCAAAAAGCATTTGCCCCAAATGGTCTGGTGTAAGTCCCGAGCAGTCCACCATCCTGCAGACTGTACTTCCAGGTATCTTCAGTAACTCTCCAATATATATGAAAGCATAAAATAAGATTTCAGGGGAAAAGTAGCAGACTAAGAGGGTCTTCTTAGAACAGCGGAAGCAGTAGCCTTTGGATGTGCACTATTCTGACTCGGATTGTTGTGATAGTGATCTAACCCTTGTGAGACCTCTGTGCCTGGCCTGTGTAAGCAGGTACGGTCACTGCGGACAACCCTCCTCAGATAGCTGAACTCACCAATACTGGTTTCATTCAAAAGCTGGTTTATTCTGAACATCACACAACAGGAATACAGCAGAATGAATGGATTTCAGTATTATGCGGTCAAAAGATGATGCTTTCCTTAGCTTAGCATGTGGGATACAAGAGTCCCAGTTACATGAGGTAAAAGCAAGCAGCCATGACACAGGAAGTACAGCAAGAACAGGGGCAGAGTTTTACATACAAGGAAATTTCTCTGAGTTTCTGTGTCGGTTTTATTATATGTTTGGCTTTTATACTTTGTTCTGTAATATCTGCTAGATCTGTTCCCTGTGCACCTTCTGGTTCAGAGGCATGATGCATCTGTATTGTTTTTGCCATAAAGGAGTGTTCAGAGCGTTGGCTAGACATTTTATATTGTTTTGCAGAAAATGGTACTGTCTCTTTAAGAAACCACACAGCAGCTTAGACGGGTAACACAGTTCAGTGTAGAGAAACAGCTTCAATGTTCACATGAAGTGCAGTTAGAATGCAGTAAGAACAGATCATATGCAGTGCAGTGAGCTTCAGCCACCATGCGCTTCACAAGATGGGGATGGGACTGAGCTAGATTGTAAATGATGCTCTCACATATACACAGCAGCTGCAGGAATTCTATGCATCTTTTGACTATTCTGACTCGGATTGTTGTGATAGTGATCTAACCCCTTGTGAGACCTCTGTGCCTGGCCTGTGTAAGCAGGTACGGTCACTGCGGACAATCCTCCTCAGATAGCTGAACTCACCAATACTGGTTTCATCCAAAAGCTGGTTTATTCTGAACATCACACAACAGGAATAGAGCAGAATGAATGGATTTCAGTATTATGCGGTCAAAAGATGATGCTTTCCTTAACTTAGCATGTGGGATACAAGAGTCCCAGTTACATGAGGTAAAAGCAAGCAGCCATGACACAGGAAGTACAGCAAGAACAGGGGCAGAGTTTTACATACAAGGAAATTTCTCTGAGTTTCTGTGTCGGTTTTATTATATGTTTGGCTTTTATACTTTGTTCTGTAATATCTGCTAGATCTGTTCCCTGTGCACCTTCTGGTTCAGAGGCATGATGCATCTGTATTGTTTTTGCCATAAAGGAGTGTTCAGAGCGTTGGCTAGACATTTTATATTGTTTTGCAGAAAATGGTACTGTCTCTTTAAGAAACCACACAGCAGCTTAGACGGGTAACACAGTTCAGTGTAGAGAAACAGCTTCAATGTTCACATGAAGTGCAGTTAGAATGCAGTAAGAACAGATCATATGCAGTGCAGTGAGCTTCAGCCACCATGCGCTTCACAAGATGGGGATGGGACTGAGCTAGATTGTAAATGATGCTCTCACATATACACAGCAGCTGCAGGAATTCTATGCATCTTTTGACTATTCTGACTCGGAATGTTGTGATAGTGATCTAACCCCTTGTGAGACCTCTGTGCCTGGCCTGTGTAAGCAGGTACGGTCACTGCGGACAATCCTCCTCAGATAGCTGAACTCACCAATACTGGTTTCATCCAAAAGCTGGTTTATTCTGAACATCACACAACAGGAATACAGCAGAATGAATGGATTTCAGTATTATGCGGTCAAAAGATGATGCTTTCCTTAACTTAGCATGTGGGATACAAGAGTCCCAGTTACATGAGGCAAATGCAAGCAGCCATGACACAGGAAGTACAGCAAGAACAGGGGCGGAGTTTTACATACAAGGAAATGATGTATCATGCTCACAGGAGGGACAAGAGCATTACCACAAAAGGGCCAAAAGGAGGCAGCAAAAATACAAGGTAAATAAATCACAGAATATGCTATGTAAATTGCATCTACAATAATGAGAATATTAACTGTGTAACAGCACACTCCCCGTCTGACGTTGTAAATGTCACTATTTTATACCATAACGGTAGTTATACAAGTGCAAATAAACAACAGTGCAATTTGCTTGATGTCTTGAGAACGTGAAAGACATAAAGAAAAAATCATGCAAAAAATGCAACAACTTCAAGTTAACATTAACGTCCAAGACTATTCCTTCTTGAAATCAAAGGTAGGGACAAGCAACATACGCAAGTAAGTTCATTTTCCAAAGGGCAAGAGCAGAATACGTTCAGTGATAGGTCTCATGAAGGTCTTTACAGTCCCTTGTCTTGCAACTTTCACCTCCACCTTGCGTACCTTGCCATCGTCACTAGGAACACTCTTTATAATAAGTCCCATAGGCCACTCGAGTCTCCCAGCTTGTTGATCCTTGAGCAGAACAAGATCTCCAACTTTAATGTTAGGATTTGGGTGTTGCCATTTCCTGCGTCCTTGCAAAGTAGAAAGGTACTCCATCTTCCAACGATTCCAGAAGCAGTTGGCGAGGTGTTGCACTCGCTTCCACTGGTCATAGCGCGAGTTTCCTGAGTTAAAGTTTCCGGGTGGGACAGGAATGGACCCAAGCTTTTGGGTAAGCAGAGTAGTTGGGGTTAGGATGGTTGGATTCTCTGGATCTTTGTCAGGTTCTAGAATACTGAAGACATCAGCTGTGGTTTCTTCTGGCTGATCCAGCATGAATTCAGCACCTGTTATCCAAGAAGAATTAGCAAAGGCACTTGCAGATACTGGCCTGGTGGCATGATCTGCAGGGTTCATTTCAGATGGGACATAATGCCATTGTTCAGATTTAGATGATTTCCGGATTCTTTCAACGCGGTTGCTGACATACACATAGAAACGTTTAGTCTGGTTGTATATGTAACCCAGAACAACTTTGCTGTCTGTGTAGAATTTGATGTCGTCTATCACAATGTCCAGCTCACGTAGTATGAAATCTGCAATTTCTACAGCTAGAACAGTCCCACAAAGTTCAAGCCTAGGGATTGTGTGCTCTGGCTTAGGTGCTAACTTAGCTTTCCCAAACAGAAACCCTATGTGGACTTGATTAGAAGAGTCTCTTAACTTGAGGTAGGCAACAGCCGCTATAGCCTCAGTTGATGCATCTGAGAAGATGTGAAGTTCTTTTCTCTGACTCGTAGTGAGGGAAGCTGAATTGTAGCAGCGTGGTATACAGATTCCATCTAAGGCACGTAGAGATTGTTTCCAGGACTCCCACTTAGGAAGCTTGTCTGATGGCAGTGGGGCGTCCCAATCTTTAATAGTCTCTGAGAATTGCCTAAGCAAGGATTTGCCTTTTATGGTAATGGGAGCAACAAATCCCATTGGGTCATATAGGCTATTTACTACTGACAGAACACCACGCTTGGTATCCTTTGACAAGTCCCACCGTAGGCCCAGACTTCTCTGTTCAGGTGGCATGTCCATTCCGAGATTAAGGTCTTTAAACCCTGTGGCATGATCATCAGGTTGAAAGGCTTTCATGACGTCAACACTATTTGAGGCAATCTTGTGTAGTCTGAGGTTAGCCTCAGAGAGCATATCTTCATCTGTAGGTAAAGATTTAAGCCCATCGTCAACATAAAAGTCTCTCTCAACAAAGTGTCGAGCGTCACTGCCATACTCCTTTTCTCCTTGAAGGGCAGTCCTTCGTAAACCATATGTTGCAACAGCGGGTGAGGGACTATTCCCGAAGACATGAACTTTCATGCGGTATTCTATGATCTCATTGTCCATGTAGTTGTTACGGTGCAACAGAAACCTTAGGAAGTTCCTATGGTCTTCGCGTACAATGAAGCAATGAAACATTTGCTCAATGTCGGCAGTTATTGCAACTGGCTCTCTTCTAAACCTCATGAGTACACCTACAAGGTTGTTGGTTAGATTCGGGCCTGTGAGTAGAACGTCGTTCAGGGATACGCCTTGATGCTTGGCACTGAAGTCAAATACTACCCTGATTTGTTTGGGCTTGCGTGGATGATACACTCCGAAGAAAGGCAGGTACCAGCACTCATCATGACTTTGAAGTGGTGGCGCTGGTTCGGCATGATCATTGTCGAAGATCCTTTTCATGAAAGCGATGAAATGATCCTTCATTTCAGGTCTGTTCTTTAGTGTTCGTTCAATCTGGATACAGCCTGTTCACGATTGGTAGGGAGTTTGGCTCTTGCTGTTCGAAGAGGTAATGGCGCAACCCAGCTGTTAGACTCATCCTGGAAGAATTCTTTGTCCATTATTTTGCTGAATTCTTTGTCTTCAATCGACAAGGCTAATTTGTTGTCATCATTTGTAGTACTAAACACTGCGGCACCTAGGTTGTCATAAGAAAGAATAGAAGCAGTATGCCGTACTTGGATCACGTCAAGAGGTTTTTCCTTTACTTCATAATGGCGAGGGCGTCGTCTGAAGTGGGAGGCACGTCCATTCCCCAGTATATAAGTTTTAAAGGAGCGGATCTCAGATGACGTACACTTCCTGTCTATGCATATATCGCCCACTATTACCCAGCCTAGGTCAAGTCTTTGTGCATAAGGGGCGTCGTCAGGTCCATCACACTGGTCGCGCACTTTATGTACTCTGAGGATGTCTCTTCCTAGAAGAACCAAAATTTCAGCATTCATGTCCATTGCAGGAATCTCATCAACAAGGTGCCTTAAGTGAAGATGGTGATATGCGGCTTCTGGAGTGGGAATCTCTTGCCTTTCATCTGGTATCTGGTCACACTCAACTAATGTTGGTAGGGGTATACCCTGTCCCCCTTTTATGTGAGAAACCATGAACCCATCCACTCTTCTGCCAAAGGCCTCTACACGACCAGAACAGGTTCTAAGAGTATACGTGTGGGATGACCCTCTATGCCAAAGATCTCAAAGAATTTAGGCTTAACCAGGGATCTATTGCTCTGTTCATCTATTATGGCATACATCTTAGTAGCTTTCTCAGGGTGGTCCTTTGGGTATATCCTGACTAGGCATACCTTGGCGCAGCATTTGTGATCCAAGCCTTCTCCACAGACTTCTGTGCATGAAGAGAGAATGTTATTCTTGGCTGGAGCATGACTTTGTTGCTCCCCGCCATAACTTGTGGCAGGTGAGGAGGTAGGTGGCTGCTGTAACTTGTCTGGAAGTGGAGTGGGATGCATGGCTGTAACATGTTTGTCGCTGCTGCATTCTGTGCACTTGATGAGGGCTTCACAGTCTTTAGCAAAGTGGCTATAGGAAGCACAGCACTTGAAGCATATTCCAAGTTTCTGGAGAATCTCCCTGCGCTCTTGTAGAGTCTTTGCCCTAAGTCCACGACATTTCTTAAGAGGGTGAGGCTTCTTGTGAATAGGACACTGGCGATTAGGGTCTTTATCTTTGTCAACCACGCACTCATCACTAGGTGAGGTGACGGAGGGTGAGATGTCTGTCATCTTGACAGATATTGCTTTATTAAAGTCTCTACGTTTAGGTGCTATGTTATCATACCTTGATGATGATGAGGATGAAGCAGGCATGTTGGGTTCACTGAAGCTGAAGCTGGGGTCATTTCTCATCCAAGCTTGATCACTAATTACCTGAAAAAGTATGAGAATGGAGGAAAAGATACATTATAGTCTCTTTTATACTTTGATCCTTGTTGTGCCCATTTCTCTTGTAGGCTGTATGGCAGTTTAGACACCACTGGGTTGACACCATGAGCAGTGTCCAAGAAGCTTAGTCCAGGTAGACGGGGATCTCTCTTTGCCAACTCCAACTCCATGAGGAGGTCACTTAGATCTTGCAGCTTGCAATGGTCTTTGTTTGATATTTTTGGAAAGTTTTGCAGTCTCTTGAATAGAGCACTTTCTATGGCTTCAGAGCTACCATAAGTTTGCTCAAGTCTTGCCCATGCAGCAGAAAGACCTGCATCTGGGTGGTCAACATGCACTGTTCTCAGTCTTTTAACACGATCGGAAGATTCTGGTCCCAACCATTTTATGATCAAATCGAGTTCTTCCCTAGCAGTAAGGTTGAGATCAGCAATAGCAGCCTTGAATGTTGCTCTCCAGGCCCTGTAGCTCTCTGCACTATCGTCAAACCTTGAGAGGCTTGTGTTAATGAGCTCACGGCGCACCATATATCTGGCGAAGTCATTCAAATCTGATTTCTCACTCTTTGGTACCAAAGTAACTTGTGGAACCCCTTGGTTGTGAAAGTTCTCTGGTGATGTAGGGTGAGGTTCGCCAGGGTAGAATGATGTAGCATGAGCGTTTAACTTTGGCTTAGTCTCTAAGGCTTGTGCTGGCGGTGGCTTCAGATGCAGCTTGTCACCGAAAGTCACATTGTTGTTTGCAGGAGAAGATGTGGTTGGCTGCATAGATGTACCTGTATTGTAGACTTGAAGAGGCTCAGGCATATTGTGTTGGGAGGTCTCCGTGTTGAGAGTCAGAACAGTGTTGTTTGTAGGAAGTACAGGAGATGACTCTGTATCCTTGCGAATGTTATGCTTTAGTATATATTCACTGGTGCGTTCAACTGGATCTTCCAGTTCTTCTGGGATAAGACAGTCCAGATTAGTGCTTTGTCTCATTGCTTGTTCGAGGACTTTTAGCCTTGCCAGGGAAGCTGCTTTCTCACCTTCCATTTGCAGAATCTTTATTTGTGCTTCTTCCTCTGCTTGCTTTCTGACAAAAGAGCTTTGCACCTTTTTTGCTTCAGCATCAGCGCGGGCCTCAATAAGCTTATCATTTAATATTGAATTTCTGGAGCGAGAGGATCGAGAAGAGGGTGCGGTGTGCTTGGTTGAGGTGGATCTGTGAGATCTGGTCTCCAGTAGATGAGCTATGCGGAGTTCTGCCTTAAGCTTAGCATTTTGCACTTCAAGATCCCTTTGTCGGTTTAGTGCATTGGTCCTGGTCAGTTCTGCTGAAGAATCCTCTATATTAGAGTCCTGCAAGAAGGCTGAGTATTTTACAGACAACCGCTTATAGCGTTCATATGCGGCACATAGGCGATTTACAGAGTCTCTTAATTCAGCCGGTTGATCAGTGAAATTTGCCAAAACTGACATGCAGTGTGAGGTTCTGTCCCAGAGGTCTGACAGATTACTGGAGAACTCATCTCTAGTTGCTTCATAGTTTTCTCTGAGTTTCTGTGTCGGTTTTATTATATGTTTGGCTTTTATACTTTGTTCTGTAATATCTGCTAGATCTGTTCCCTGTGCACCTTCTGGTTCAGAGGCATGATGCATCTGTATTGTTTTTGCCATAAAGGAGTGTTCAGAGCGTTGGCTAGACATTTTATATTGTTTTGCAGAAAATGGTACTGTCTCTTTAAGAAACCACACAGCAGCTTAGACGGGTAACACAGTTCAGTGTAGAGAAACAGCTTCAATGTTCACATGAAGTGCAGTTAGAATGCAGTAAGAACAGATCATATGCAGTGCAGTGAGCTTCAGCCACCATGTGCTTCACAAGATGGAGGATGGGACTGAGCTAGATTGTAAATGATGCTCTCACATATACACAGCAGCTGCAGGAATTCTATGCATCTTTTGACTATTCTGACTCGGATTGCTGTGATAGTGATCTAACCCTTGTGAGACCTCTGTGCCTGGCCTGTATAAGCAGGTACGGTCACTGCGGACAACCCTCCTCAGATAGCTGAACTCACCAATACTGGTTTCATTCAAAAGCTGGTTTATTCTGAACATCACACAACAGGAATACAGCAGAATGAATGGATTTCAGTATTATGCGGTCAAAAGATGATGCTTTCCTTAGCTTAGCATGTGGGATACAAGAGTCCCAGTTACATGAGGTAAAAGCAAGCAGCCATGACACAGGAAGTACAGCAAGAAGAGGGGCGGAGTTTTACATACAAGGAAATGATGTATCATGCTCACAGGAGGGACAAGGGCATTACCAAAAAGGGCCAAAAGGAGGCAGCAAAAATACAAGGTAAATAAATCACAGAATATGCTATGTAAATTGCATCTACAATAATGAGAATATTAACTGTGTAACAGCACATGCACCAACGGAAAGAAGTCACATGTCTAATATTAAGCCCCTGCAAAAAAATTAAAAACAAAGCGGTCATTTGCCACTTTCTTGACCTGTAGCTCCCAATTCCTCTCCCCATCTGGGGGGGAGGGGGGGATTGGCAGGGCTTGGCAGCAGCAAGACCATACTAGCATCTAGTTTCAGAGTTGGGCACCCAAAATCCTTCTTCCCAGAGTCCACCATCTGAATTTCCTTCACTTCCCAGAGGGGCCTGGAGTGGGGCAAAGGTGCCAGAGGCAGAGCTCAATTTCCAATGGGTAAATTCACCATTGATAAATTCTTCCTACAGGAATGGATGGCTTTCAAATACTTGGGTTCTTCAGACTGTCCAATGGTATGGCATCAAATTCCACCTCAGAGCCTTATCCATTCCACACATCATCGGAATACCAGTATCTCATAGACTTGAAAATCCAAGATCTACTCAGCAAGG